TGGCACTGAGGGCACAGTAAGGAGAGACTTAGACACCTACATACACCCTGAGTATGCCAAAGTTAAACCCAGCAACGCCTGCCCAACACCCACTGCCCCAAGTCAACCAGCAACATTTCACATGCCACAAGGTTCCCCTCTTTTCTGTCTAGTATCCTCCTGACCAGATCCTTCTGCCTCCCACTTCCCCTCCCCCCATCCCTATAGAAGAGCCCCTTCTATAGGCTTCTCCCCACCCCATGGCCATACTGGGGCCTCAGGGCAGTGCGTCCCTCGTGGGTGATGGCAGCCTTCTGCCCACAGTTGGGGTGGAAGAGCAGACGTTCAGGTTCTGCTTGGGCAGCGGGAGCAGCACGGCGGAGAGCACCCTCAGGGGATAATGCCCGCAGGATGGCATTGTTCCGGCGTAGACGGTCACTGTGGTTGTTATTGTGGACTATGGTCACCTTCACTGCCATCCCATACAAGTCCACCACACCATACACCACTGGGGGTGTTAAGGGGGTTGCTACGCCTGTGGAGGTAAATGATACAGGGATGAGAGTGAGGGAAAAAGAGTCAAATATAGGGAGGCTGAGCTTCAAAGAGAGGCAGATGACCAGGTATAGACCCCCACCAAAAGCCCTGGCCCACCCTCCGAGTTACCCCTTACCTTGATCGATGCCATTAATGAAGAAGTGTAGGGCAGAGTTGGACTTCCTCGTGAGACCAATGTGGTCGCCCTCCTATTCAAAACAGAAAAATAACAGTCTGGACTCCATTTACCAGCAGGCTCCAGATTGCGGACCATGGTAGCAGAGTGAAACTCCAGGCTTTCTATCAGCCCAGTTCCAAAAAGTTCCTGTATCAGACCATCCTGAATACTCAAAGCAAGTCAGACACTGAGTTAAACTTGCGAATATCAATTTGTTTAACTCACACAATTCATAAAATATTGATACATGTTACTAATAGGCTTAGTTTAGACATTACGAAAAAAGAAAACCTACCAAAGAAGATAGGTTTCTTGCCTCAAGCCACTACCACAAATGGCCAAACAGTAAGAGGAACTGAACCCATCTGACTCCAATCTGAGTGCCTAAAATGTTGGGTGACTTGCCCTCTCAGAAGGGAACTTTAGACAAAAGATCCAGGGCCGTGCCCTAGGTCCTCATCACCTGCAGTTCATCCAGACTGAATTCACAGTACTCTCGGCGGGTGCCCTTGCCGTTGGTCAGGATCCCACAGCCACTCATCATAATGGTGCCTGGGGGGAGACCGACACCTGGTTAGGGTATGAGCTTCCTTGGCCTCAGGAACCTCCAGCCTTTGCCCCCACCCTGCTAGGAGCTGGTACCTGACTGGAGGTTGGTCATGGTGGCTGGGTATTCCAAATTATTGGGGTTGTGGGTGGTGACGCCAATTTCAATGGAGCCCGACCACTTATCTACCAGCTTGTCGATGCGGATCTTGGGTAGGTAACAGCACAAGGAAAAGAAAGGGAATTAAACACAGAAAGAGGACCCTCAGCCCTCTGCTTTACCCCAGGCTCCCCCTTTCCAGTGTCAAGTTTCCAGCCCCATCTTTAACTCCTAGAGTGGGAGATGCCAGCCACATCAACCGCAGGATCTTACACACCTCAAACATCTCATTGTCCCGAAGAGGGCGATTGGTCATGACAACCCCATTGTTGAATTCATCCAGGGGTCGGCGGCGCTCGGCCGTCTTATTGTTGTTGCTGAGTTTGATGAGAGTTCCACATTTCTCGTGAAAGAGGAGGGCGTCGTTGGAAGTGAGGATGGGCGAAGTGGCAGCACCACTGGGCCCCAGCCCTTCCCCTGCTGGTGGGGAGCTCAGGTTCACATTTAGGAGCCCCCCATTGTAGGCAGATAAGATGGCATTGCTCACCACCTCAGACAGCTCCATGCTGGCAAAATCTACAGCAGCAAGATGGAAGAGGCTGACATGAGGCTCGATACCCTCAGGCCTGCCATGATATCTCCCTACCCTCACCTGAGGTCCCTCCCTTGTCCACCTCATTTCCCACTCCCCTTCCCAGGACCTCCCCAAAGCCCTCACCATTATGCGACTCAAGGCTGTTAGGAAACGTCTCCGGCCGGGCCTGCGCTGGGGACACCATGAAGGCTGGGGACCAGGTGGGATGGGAGGGGAATAAGGGTTCAGCCCCTGCTGCAGGGCCCACAGCCAGGAGACACCCCTCTCTATCCCCTACTCTCCCCTACAACAGACTCAGGGGTCTGAGTGGCCCTACCCACACCCAGTCTCACTTGTCATTGCATCATCCCCATTCTCAGTCATTCCCTCCGCTTCCCCACCACTGCCCTAGCTGTGTTCTCACCTTCATCCCCAGAGGTCCCCTGTTCAGCCAAGGCAGAATCTTCAGGGGGGGCAGAAGGCTCGAGGGGAGGTGTAGGGATGGGAGTAGGGGGGCTGAAGCCTGGCTCAGGGGGTAGCACGGTGATCTGGGTGCACTTGCCATAAAGGTCCACGACGGCCCAGACACGAGGGGGCAGACCGGTGGCGGCTACACCGCAATCCCGCCCATTTACCCAGAGCCGCAGCTCCCCAGCAACTGTACGCTCCACACCCACACGGTCCCCTTCGCCAAGCTGGTCCAGGTCCTGACCATACTCCTCCAGCACAGAACGTCCATCCCTCAGCACTGAGCAGCCCGACACTACCCATGAGCCCCCCTTCAGCCCTGTAGCGCTGCTTGGGAAGTCCAGCACGCTGGGGTCCAGTGCCGTCACCCCAATCTCAATGGAGCCACTCCAGGAGTTGACCTGTGATAGGGGGTGGTGGACAGAGGCTCAGGATGGGTCACGAGTAGGTCTCCCACCAGCAGTAAACCACATTTCACCAGCCATTGCATCCCCCTTTTCTACCTCTCAGCTAACTGGCTATTCTCTCAAGAAATGAGATACTAATCCCACAGGTAATTTTCTGGACTCAGGATTGTTTGAGCCCACCCTTGCCTGGCAACTGGGCTCTGGGTTCTGAACAATCTGTGGCTGCTCCACTGTTCCCTTCTCCATGGTGCAGCCCATGACTGCACCATGACTTCTGCCCCTGCCTCCTCTGACTTCCCTGATCTCTGTGGCTCCTCAACCCATTGTCTTGTATGTCACTCTACCTACCCCCACCCCCACCATTTTCTCCTAGGCTCTGGTCCCACTCATCTTTATCCTCCTCCCGAATTCTATCCATGTGCCTGGCCTCCTCACTAAATCTCACACACACACCCCTCTCCCTGAGTATCTCTGCTCACCCATCTTCCAACTCAATCTCTAAATGTGTCCTTCAATGGTTTGTTCTTTCCTTGGTTATCTCTCTTTCCCACCACATTTCTGTCATCGCTAACCTCCAAATCCCAGAAATTGTTCCAGAAGGCCCAGTCCCTAGTCATTCTTCAGAGACCCCGGGGTCTTGAAGAAACTCAAAACTCTCCTTGTCTCCTCCTTCAGACTGATCATTTCGGCTTCATGCTCCCTTTCTGCCCACCACCCTGTGCCCTAAGGTCTGTTGGTTCCCTCTCAGTCCCCGCGATGAAGACTACCCTGGCTGTGCTACCCCGTCTGGTGCCCTCCCACCGCCCTCCACATGTCGGTTCCGAGTCCCCAGCTCCGCACCTTGCGGTCGATGCGGACTGTGAAGACGCGTCCATCGCGCAAGGGTTCCCGGCTTAACACCAGCCCGTGGTTAAACTCCTGGCCCGGCTGCTGCCGCCGCGCCGTTCGCCCACAGGCCGACAGGCTCACCAAGCGCCCAGTGCGCGGATGCAGCTCCCCGCCGCCGCCCAGACCCCCGCTGGACCCGGGTCCTGGGCCGCTCCCGTTAGGGCCCCCACCCCCGCCTGGCCCCGGCCCCGGGCCTCCCCCGGAGCCCCCACTCCCACCCGACCCCGCCGCCATCGCCGCTGACACCGGGGCCGCGCGACAGCCGCGCTTGGCGGCACCGTGGCAACCGCGGTGCACCGACACCCTGAGGGAATAGGACCCGGGGCTGGGGCCAGAAATGCTTTACGGCACTGCCGGGCAATGAAGCATCGTGGACTAGGGTACTAATAACTATACCACAGTGGGAAAAGAAGGACGACGGGGTCGGGAAGGTTTGCTTTACGGCACGGCGAGGTGAAGGAGTGGCTCCGAGAGGGATGAAAACCGGGGCAGGGAGTTTTTGCGACAGTAGGAGAAACGACTGCTGCAGGCGTCTTTACGACACTCTCTGCTTTGCGACAGCGGCACCGACGACCCCGCCCTCGTCAAGACTGGCGACACCTCGAAGGATTCGCTTTACGGCAAGAGGTGGTGTCTCCCCTTCGCGCTACACGCTTTAGAGCGGTGTACCCGGACCCTGAGAAAAGAATTGGTAGTTTTATAAATAAAAGTCTGCTTTTAACGCCAGTGAGACTGGATGTTTTTGCGATAGTGACGCAGTCCCTACACTTTGTTTCACATCTTTGAGAAGCAAAGCAGGTCAACTTTTGGGGTGGAAAGGTCTGCGGATGTGCCTAGGCAAGCCCACCTTGAACTCCAACCAAACTCTTAGATTTTAATGCTATGGATAAAGAATCCAAATAAATCTGGGCAGGCAGTTTCAAGCGGACAGCCCCCCACCCCCACCGCATAGCCTCCACTGCAATTAACAAGCCCCGGCCCTACTCTCCGTTGCTCCCTCTAAGGTTGGAGGGGTGTGACGTCACAATTAAGGCTTCTCGCCCCTGAACCAGGACTCCTGACTATGATTGGTTAATTCGGGTAAGGATGGTGATGGGGAGAAGGGCGGGAACAAATCTCAGACAAAGAAAGAAGTCTTGGGGTGGGACAAAAGGGAGGGGCAAGCGAAGGGACTGCTAGGCCGAGGTTCCTCTATTTAAAGTGTCGATTCCGCCCACCAGCGTTCCAGTGAGCCCTGGGAGGGGACCCGCGCCTCCACCGAGCTTCCCCCCGCCCCCGCGGTGGGGGCGGGTCTCGGGGGCGGGGCTATGAACAGGGAGGCGGGGGCGGGTAGCTAAGAGAGGCCCCCTGCTGGGGCCATGGAAAAGCAGAATGACTTCGGGGCCGCAGGCGGCGTTAAAGAGGATTCCCAGGCTACCAGGGGAGTGCCAAGAGACAGCAGAGGAGTTGCGGCAGGGCCCGGGATGTCCTCTGGAACAGTCTTGTTTCACGATCCCGTGCCTTCCCTGCACTCCGCGGGAAGCAGTGCTAGTCCCAGCCAGTCTTCCGGGGTCCTGAGTTCCGGGCCCAACCAGCACTCTGGGGAGGTTACAGGTCAAAAATTCTTTAGGGGCATCCTAAAAGGCAACGGCCCCATCCTTAGGCAAAAATCCCCCACTACGGAGCGGTAAGGAACCAGCTCTTCAGGAACGCTGTGCAGAGCCGGGAGGGAGGGTTCTGGATCTTGGAGGGGCGGAGCCAAGAGAGAAGGGGCAGAACCTGAGAACTAGCAGTGGAAGAAAGTGAGGGCAATTGGGTGAGAAATCTGAGATTCAGGCCTGTGGTAGAGCTTCAGTGTGACCCTAACCCCGGCCTCCCAAGCCACTGGAACTACCAGAGTAGAAGAAAAAGGCTTTGAATGACTGAGATAAAGGAGGGGGCTGAAAGTAGGGTGTTTTCTCGCTATTGTGTATCTTTCCACCACCCCAGAAAGTCTCAGCACTGGGATGAAATGAACATTCTGGCCACCTACCATCCTGCTGACAAGGAATATGGATATATGAAGGTGGATGAGCCTAGCACTCCTTACCACAGGTACTGAATCCTCAGTCCTAGCCCTTCAACCCACTCTTACCTATTCAAAGGAGAGAACAGGAAGGAGGCAGAGGGACTGGATGCTGCCTGATGCCCTCTTCTCAGCACTGCTTTCTCCTTCCTCTTCAGACTGCAGGATGGTGATGAGGACCTATCTGCGGGGTCCTCCCACACAATGACTCCTGAGATGCTAACAGAAAAGTGAGAGTCCCTGTTAGATATCAGTTGGGATGTGGGACCTCTTTCTCCCTTCACTTCTAAACTTGAGGGTCTGAGGCAGCTATGCTTTTTGATCTCCCAAATAGGAAGTTTTGCAATTGCCATCAATACCAAGTTGAGGGCCTCCCCGGTGGCGCAGTGGTTGAGCGCTGGGTTGCGAAGCTGCCCGCGGCCTCTGCGGCGCCGGTTCGATCCCCGGCTGCTCCCCGGCCACCAGAGGAGGGTCCCACATGGCGTGCAGACCTCTCCTGCCGCCCGCTGCTCCCCTCAGCAGTGTACTTCGGTCCCTCTGCCTGATCTGCTCCCCGCTCTGGCTCTGGTGAATTCTCTCACCCTCCCGCGCTTCTGACTGTACCCAGTGCATGTATAAACAAAACAAACAAACAAACCAGCAAACAAATAAATAAAGCATGCCTCTATAAAAACAAAAAAACAAAAACAAAACAATACCAAGTTGAAGGGATCAGCTAACTTGGCCCTGTCCACCACTGCCCCCATTGTTGTTCTCCCTCTTCAGTGTCCCAACTAGTCTCCTCCCCTTCAGGTTTGCTACAATGGACAATTTCTACCCCAAGGGTTTCCGGCATGGTGATAACACAGCTTCAGAGTCTCCAGACAACTTTTCCAAGACACGTGAGATGAGGGTGGGGATTTAAATGGAAAGGGGAGGCAGAGTGAACCTTCATCGAGAGTCTGGTGGGAACCAAGTTCTTAAACTGGCCCACAGACTCCAGTGATTTTGACAAGCACCGCAAGACACACTACAATGAAGGAAAGTACCTCAAGACTCAGAAAAACCTACGCCTGGACAATAACAAGAACAGCAATAGGGGTAGTGTCAGTATGGACAGTAGAAGTCGAGGTGTGATGCTGAACACAGAGCCCAGGCCTGTGGAGAGAGGCTGGGCAGGAAGACTGACCACAGGAATCAAAGATGACATCCCAGCGACCAGGAACTACATCCTAGAAGCCAAGGGTTAGCGATGGTGGGCCCCATGGATTCAAGGGAACTATAGTCTAGCACCTTCTCCATCATTGTCGCCTTTCCTTAGTGGGCATGGACCTGGATCCCTGCTGTCTGAGAGGGAGATAGTGTTGGGAGATGATCCTGGAAAAGATAGGGCAGCTGGGCTGGGATCCCTAAGAGCATAGTCCCCAGGGAAGGCTGATTGGTGAAGAGGAACAGAAAACCCAAGAGAACCATGGGTCACCAAAGATTTTTTAAAGTGGGGGGAGGTAATAGAAATGAAATGAGAACCTGGAGTTTGAACTTCTCTCCTGTGGTGGGGGACCACAAAGGACACTTGGGGAACCTGGATCCCTTAGGTGGCCATAAGATTCAGATTGACTTGGGTGACTCCTCAGATTCCCCTACCTTCAGAAATCAGTCCCCAGCTTCAGCTGCCACCAAATCAGAGAAGGTTGATCTGAAACGCAAGGAGTATTATAGCAAAGGAAGATACCTGAGGTGTTCTGCCCACCCAGAGGAGGACATAGAGGAGGACACCCAAGATGAGCAGCAGGATGGTGAGAGATGGGCCAGGTCAGCCTGGGGATAGGAGGGCTAAGCATTTGATGGGTGTCCCGACTCTGATCCAGTGACACTTCCAGGCTCCTCAAGCTTGCCCTTGGTGATTGAAAATTCCATATGCACTGAGGTCCGTCTGCTAGACCACACAGGAAATCCTTTTCAGAATCACAAGACCACCAAGAAATCCCTATAGGAGACAATGACCATCACAGCCTGGTGAGGGTACCAGACCACTATTTCACTGGGCCTGGCCCTAGGCAAGCTCCCTTCCACTCCTTTTACACTACTAGATGGGCAACGGGTAGTAACAGGGCCCCCAAACATCCTATAGTACAAGGCCTACATTAACTTTTTGTTTTTAAGATTTTTTATTTTTGCATAGAAGAACTGGGGTGTAGGCCAGAGGCGCGGGGCGAGGGGGCTGTGTGTGTGAGAGGATTCACTGGAGACAGAGTAGGGAACAGAACTGGAACTCAGACAATGATGGTGCTAGCGCTGAGACATAATCCTAGGGAGCCCCCACAAGGCCAACATTGTACAGAGAGGAACTAGGGAGGGGCCACTGACCAGGGAGGGAGAGGGGCTAAGTGGACAGATTGTACAGAGTCTGGGCCCCCAGAAAACCTCTCACCTGCCCCTTCACTCTCCAGATGAAACCTGCAGCTTCATTGGACTCAGGAGGAGGAAAGCAGACAATGGAAAATGTAGCCGTATGAGGATGGCATGGAGTTCAACCTTCTCTTGCCCTCACCACGCTAGGGGCGGACAATAAAGAAAACAAGAGCAGGAGTCTGTGTGCTGTGAATTGGGGCCTGCTCAGTCACCGAGGAGAAGGGGAGGAGGGAGGGAAGTTGACATACAGGAAACCGCAAGCTGGCAGAACAGAAAAGAAAGCTTGGGGTAGTCCGCGGAGCTGGACTCAACAAGAGCATGGGAGTTTAAGAGACCCACCTGTAGCAGGATGACAATGATGGATGGGATTCAGTCCACCATCTTTAATTCTTTACAGTATTGGCTTTAATTCTTACAATCCGGAGGCAGGTGTGATCACACCCAGCTTCAAGATAAACTCAGAAATCAAAGAGCTTGCCCGGGATCATACATCCTCTAAGTGGCAGAATGAGGATTTGAACCTATCGCCACCAAAGTCAACCCCTAAAAGGAGGCAGAAGCAGAAACTAGGGCCCTCTATAGGAAGGTGACTCCAGACAGGCTCTGAGGGCGGGCTGTGGTTTCTTTGATCACAGGCCCTTCTGTACCTAGCCACGCCTCTGTTCCTGCCTGCAGAGTCTGGAAGTGAGGGGTGCGCGCTCTCACTAGGAGCCCCCTTCCCCTTGGGGAAAGTGTTACATTTCCTGAGGCTCTACCCAGGAGAGGCTCCTCTCCTCTTTTCTGCATCTTTGCGCCTCCTGGGGCAAGGAGCCTTCCATCTACATCCCCACTGCCTGGCCCCAGGGCCCACTGGCCCCCCAGTGATCAAGTGAAATGACCATCAAGCTGGATTTCGAGGAGTGTCTGAAGGACTCACCCCGCTTCCGGTAAGTGTGTGCAGGTTTCAGGGCAGAGGGAGGTGGGTCTGATACCCTATAGCACACAACCTTCCCAGACCAGATGCCCTTGCAGGGAGTAGGTTTCAGAAGGACAAGATGGAGTTTGTGGGCCCAAACAACTCCACTACCAGCAAACTGGGTACTCGGATACTCTCTACCTCCTCCTGCACATGGGGGGGGGGGGCCTCTTCTAGTCTCTCTCGCCCCCAGAGCTGGCATTCCCTCCTCTCTTTCACTTGGACCCCTGCCCTTCCCCCAGCACCTGCTCTTGGCTTGGGCGGTTAGCAACTTCCTGCCCTCCCCACATCTACCTCATACCCTTCCTGCTGTGACTTGGGCCTAAAAACTCCCACACTGCAGAGAGAGCAGTGGGCAGTTCTTAACCCATCAGCTTTTTCCGTCTACCCTGTGCTTCATAACCCCAACACCCTGTCCACCCCCATGTCACCCCACCCCCCCAGAGGAAAGCAAACTAGAATGGACCCAGGCTCTATCCCTGTGACCCCAGCCCTCCCTTTCCTAGGGCTTCGATTGAACTGGTGGAAGCTGAAGTATCAGAATTGGAGACCCGGCTGGAAAAGGTGATCCTGACTCAGAGGTGGCACAGGATGGGACTAAGATAAGAGGAGCCAGCCAGGGAGAACGTTGGAGTCTGAGAATGAATTCCAGGGGTTACTGAAAACTAACCATGTGGGGTAGATTTTGGAGTGGGGGACGGGAATACAAAGAAGTTAAAAACTGGTTCTGTTCCCTCTAGGAGCTTGAGAGCTTGAAAAATAAGACCCACTTGTGGACTTCACCTGCTCAGCTCTTGAGTCCTGCTTTATTCTGGGTCCTGGGCTTTGAGAGCAGCAAGACACTTTCTTTTTTTTTTTTAAAGGTTTATTTATTTATGCATACAAGAACTGGGGTATAGGCCAGAGATGTGAGGGGTGAGAGGATTCACCAGAGACAGAGTGGGGAACAGGCAGACTGACTGAAATACACTGCTGAGGGGAGCAGTGGGCGAGTCAGGAGAGGTCTGTGCAGCAATACTCTTTCTGCCCCCAGGGAGCTTGTAGTAAAACCAGAGGACAAACCACTGACACACTTAAAACACAAGACAGGAAGGCCTTCCCTAGCCACCCTATAAAACAGTACATGTGCACACACACACGGACATACACACACTCCCATCCCCCTTACCTACTTTATTTTCCTTTACAGTGTTTACCTCAATTTGACAAATTACATATTTACTTGCTGTGTTAGCTTGCTATTGCTGTGTAACAAATGATTATATATTTAGTGACTTCAAACAACATACACTTGTTATCGTTTCTGTGGGTCAGGACTCCAGCGTAGCTTAGGTAGTCCTTTGCTCAGGGCCTCATAGACTGCAGTCTCTTGTGAGGCTCAGGGCTTCCTTCCAAACGCATGTGATTGTTGGCAGAATTCAATGTCTTGCTGTTGTAGGACAGAGACCCTAATCTCCTAGAGGTTACCCTCTCTTCTTTGCCATGTGGCCCTGTCCCTGGACAGTTGACATCAAGGCGACTTGCTGCTCCGAGCCAGCAAGAGTGTCTCCATGTGCACCCTGGCAAGATGGCATCACTTCAGATCACTGTAACTGCAGGAGCACCTTCCACCACCTCTGCTGTGTGGCATAACGTCATCCTGAAAATACCATTCCAGCTCCTTTGCCATATTCTATCAGTTAGAAACAAGTCACAGGTCTTGCTCACACTCAAGGGACAGGATTATACAAGGGTGGGAATCATCAGGGGTCACCTTAGCATGTGTCTGTCACTTGCTGATTTTTTTTCTTGTCCATTTTTCCCTATTAGAATTAAATGCCCAGATGGACTTTTATGTTTTATTTTTACTCAACCCCCAGTGCCTGAAGTTAGTAGATGAACAATTAATGCAGACATGTACTTCTTAATTAAACTTATAATTTTGAGTTCATTCTAGACTCAAAAGAAGTTGCAAAAAGTAATGAAGAGGCCCCAAGTTACAGTCACTCAGCTTCTCTCAATAGCAGCATCTAACAGGACTATCCAGTCCTTTACTAAAGCCTGGAAAGCAGGCCTCCCTGGTGGTGCAAGGGATTAATACACAGCACAATGAAGTTGTCTACAACCACTGCAGCATGAGTTCGATCCCCAGCCAGGGAGCTACCCATGTGGCACAGCAGACCTCTCCTGATTTGTTCACTGGTCCCCTCAGCAGTGTATTTCAGTCAATCTGACTGTTCTGTTCCCCACTCTGTCTCTGGTGAGTCCTCTGGCCTGTACCCCAGTTCTTGTATGCATAAATAAAAACAAATCTTTTAAAAAATAAAAATAAAATCTGGGAAGTGATATGGACCCAAAGAACTATTTTATCTATTTTACATGTGCTTTTTAAAAGCATTGTATATAATTCAACTACACTTTATCACGTGATTAGATTCTTATAACCAGCATTACATTCGAGATACAAGACTTCTGTCACCACAGAGGAACTCTTGTGCTGTCCATTGCAGTGATACCTTCCTCACCACCTTCTCTAATCTCTGATGGCCACTCATCTGTGCTCCACCTCTAGACTTTTGTCATCTCTAGTGTGTTAAATAAATGAAATTATACAATATGTGACTATTCAATATTGACTTACCCCCACACTCAGTATAATGTTTATATAAGCTTGAAATTTATGTATCAATACTATAAATAATTAATTATCAAGAATGATTTGTTCATTTCTCTGCATTGCTGAATAATATTCCTTTATATGGCTTTTGCCAGTTTGTCACTAGTTCAATCTACGAGAAATCTTTTATTTATTTATGCATACAAGAACTGGGGCACAGGCCAGAGGTGTGGGGGTGAGAGGATTCACCAGAAACAGAGTGGGTAACAGAACAGGAGGATTCTGCTGAGGGGAGCAGCAGGCGAGACAGGAGAGGTCTGCTGTGCCATGTGGGCAGCTCCCTAGCTGGGGATCGAACTCATGCTGCAGTGGCTACGGACGGCTTCACAGGTTGTGTCTTAACCCCTTGCGCCACCAGGGAGGCCCTGGTCTTATGAAAATTTTTCACTCAGACATACGGTGGACACTCCGTACCCCAGCTCTACACAATGAGCTATGAACATATGGATTATTGTTCCTTGTCACAGATGCCCGTGGTGACATCTGATAAGGTTTGATTGTGGCCAGTTTCCTGATCGTTACTGACCACTTTCAAGTCAAGTTGTATTTCCCTAAAGTCTTTACTAGTCCTCCAGAATGTTTGTCAGGTCAACAAAGCTCACTGAGTACCTATGAAGCCTATGCTTCTGAGCTCCTGCTGCTGCCCAGGATTTACTCACAGAAACTCCCAGGTGATGGTCTGTCCCTGGACTGAGCTGAGCTGATGCACACCATGACACTTGCTCAGTCCCAGAGCTGGTGACTCAGGCCAGAGCCATGTGATGTCACCTCAGAGGCAGTACAGTTCCTAGCAGTATAAGGGCCAACGGTCAAGATCTCACTTTGGCTTCTGGTTCAGCCCCCTGGCTCTCTTAGAGAGCCCTGGCTTGGGCCAGTCACTATCGCCTTATTTATCAAGCCTCCTATTTGTCAGTTGAGGGGGCCGGATAGAATAGCCCCTAGGAGTGCTCTAGCATGCTGTTTTTGCCCTGTGGCCTAATAATATTAAAGAGGGAATATTTAATGAGCACAGGATGGGATAACTCTAGTGGAATTTCATACCTACCAAATAGAACACTTATTCCTGTAAGCCAGCCAGTGTGTGAGGATGGAGATTCTAGAGTGTTCTGGATCCAAGCAGTTGAGGCAGGGTAGGCAGAGACACATGGGAATGGACAGAGAAAGATGTTTTGGAAGTGAAGCTCACAGGCTTTAAAGACAGGCTGGGGGCCTCCCCGGTGGCGCAGTGGTTGAGCGCTGGGTTGCGAAGCTGCCCGCGGCCTCCGCGGCGCCGGTTCGATCCCCAGCTGCTCCCGGCCACTGGAGGAGGGTCCCACATGGCGCGCAGACCTCTCCTGCCGCCCGCTGCTCCCCTCAGCAGTGTACTTCGCTTCTTCTGCCTGCTCTGCTCCCCGCTCTGGCTCTGGTGAATTCTCTCGCCTTCCCGCGCTTCTGACTATACCCAGTGCATGTATAAACAAAAAAAA